TCTGTTATGAATGTTAAGAGCGTGTTATGAATGTGTTAGGAGTGTGTTATGAGTGTTAAGAGTGTGTTATGAATGTGTTAGGAGTGTGTTATGGGTGTTAAGAGTGTGTTATGAGTGTTATGAATGTGTTATGAGTCTTTTATGAATGTGTTATGAGTGTGTGATGGGTGTTAAGAGTCTGTTATGAATGTGTTATGAGTGTTAAGAGTCTGTTATGAATGTGTTATGAATGTTAAGAGTGTGTTATGAGTGTGTTAAGAGTGTGTTAGAAGTGTGTTATGGATGTGTTATGAATGTGTTATGGGTGTTAAGAGTCTGTTATGAATGTTATGAGTGTGTTATGAATGTGCTATGAGTGTGTTATGAATGTGTTATGAGTGTTATGAGTCTGTTATGAATGTGTTATGAGTGTGTTATGGATGTGTTATGAGTGTGTTATGAGTGTGTTATGGATGTGTTATGAATGTGTTATCAGTCTTAAGAGTGTGTTATGAATGTGTTATCCGTGTTAAGAGTGTGTTATGAGTGTGTTATGAATGTGTTATCAGTGTTATGAGTGTGTTAAGAGTGTGTTATGAATGTGTTATCAGTGTTAAGAGTGTGTTAAGAGTGTGTTATGAATGTGTTATCAGTGTTAAGAGTGTGTTATGAGTGTGTTATGAATGTGTTATCAGTCTTAAGAGTGTGTTATGAATGTGTTATCCGTGTTATGAATGTGTTATCAGTGTTAAGAGTGTGTTATGAGTGTGTTATGAATGTGTTATCAGTGTTAAGAGTGTGTTATGAATGTGTTATCAGTGTTAAGAGTGTGTTATGAGTGTGTTATGAATGTGTTATCAGTCTTAAGAGTGTGTTATGAATGTGTTATCCATGTTAAGAGTGTGTTATGAATGTGTTATCAGTGTTAAGAGTGTGTTATGAATGTGTTATCAGTGTTATGAGTGTGTTATGAATGTGTTATCAGTGTTAAGAGTGTGTTATGAATGTGTTATCAGTGTTATGAGTCTGTTATGAATGTGTTATGAGTGTGTTATGAATGTTATGAGTGTTATGATTATGTTAAATTGGTGTACTGTTGTTGCACTGATGAGGCATGCAAAACACCACATGTATCAGCTATCAAATCAAATACAGTGGTCCCTCAGTTAACAAACACAATTGGTTCCACAGAGTCGTTCGTTAACCAAATCTATTATTTGAATGGGATATTGGGTAATTGGTTCCAACTCACAGAAAAAGTACATTATGCAAAAACAACATTTTAAAAGATCAGAATCACATTGAAATATTACACGGCCTTCAGCAGAGGCGGGAAAAATATGAAGTTCTGTAGTTCGCAGTCATATTTCCCGCCGTTGACGGCCGTGTAATATTTCAATGTGATTCTGATCTTTTAAAATGTTGTTTTCGCATAATATAGTATTACTGATATGTAATTTGTCTTAGTATGCCTTATTGTGGGTAAAAATAAGTATATATTAAATGCATCCGCTGGAAGCGTGAATTTGCTACCCGAGTTTAACAGTTAATTCACGTATAATACTTCTGATAAACTTCCTACGTGCTCCTGTTTGAAATAATGAAGGTATGTATCTTTATATAATTTAGTTAAATATCTTTCTTGTCAGAAACGGTCATTATGAATAAACTCATTTACAAAAACATCATTACTCAGGACAAAATCGGACAGGTTAGCAACAGCCAATCAGCTGTAACTCTTGAGGAGGGGGCGGGGCATTTTTTCTCAGCTGGGAAAAAATGCGCCATAGGCATCATACACAATGCCGACCCTCTGTAAAGTTGCCAATAATCTTATTGTTGAACATTTAAATAATTAGTAAATATTTTTTTCATATGATCCAATTATTATTTCAAGTAAAACAGAAAACTGAATTACTTTCCCAAGTGAAAAAACTATAACTGAAAGTGGACTGTTGGGTTATTTAGAAATATTAAAAATAATAATGTGGACCAGTTTTGTCCAGCTGACGAAGAGCCACCGCTGGTCTATATAGCCCCTCGACAAGTGAATGTAGTTTTCGATGTGCATGCATTTTCTACCCATTACATTGACAGAAATCTTATTAAATAGCCACTCTTATGGAACAACTCTTAGATAATATAATATCACCGTAGAACATAAGACTTCAGGCTTATTAATGGAAAAAATATTAAATTTAACTAAAATGTCTCAAATTCCTTTTGCTCCAACACAATAAAGTTCATTTTAGCATGTTATTGATAGGATGGTTAAGTCTATATGTCCATTGAGGGCACGCAGCTTATCCTTCTGCATGCATTGAGGGACGTTGAGTTTCCTTGACTTTCCTGGGTGAAGACTCTAAAATTAAATCTGTATTATTGATGAAGCTATTGTATTTAAGAATATATTTTGCTTTCTACTGGGCATGCAATGCCTGCCTTGCATTCATTAAGAACATGCCAATGATATGTTATGGTTGCTAAAAGTTTGTTATGAATGTGTTGTGAGCATGTTAAGTGTTATGAGTGTGTTATGAATGTGTTATGAGTGTTACGAGTCTCTTATGAATGTATTATGAGTGTGTTATTAGTGTGTTTTGAGTGTGTTAAGAGTGTAATGAGTGTGTTATGAGTGTTTATGAGTGTTAAGAGTCTGTTATGAATGTGTTGTGAGTGTTATGAGTGCTAAGACTGTGTTATGAGTGTTAAGAGTTTTATGAGTGGTGTGAGTGATTTATAAGAACAAAAGAATGGAGGAAACTGCAGCAGGCCTATTGGCCCAAACTGGGTAGTCCCATTTACACCCAACCCCTATTGCTCATATATCTATCCAACCTGTGTTGGAAGCTATCCAGTGTATTTGAGTCAATATTTATGTTTGGTAACTTGTTCCATTCACCCACTACTCTATTTCCAAACCACTGTTTACCTATTTCGAGCTTAAATCTAAATTTGTGTATTTTAAAACCAATGTTACGAATTCGCTCCTGGTTGGATAGTTTGAGTAACTTTGTAATGTCACTTCCATCTATACACGTCTATCATGTCACTCCTCACTCTACGTCTCTCGAGGGAGTGCAAATTTAGATGCTTAAACCTGTCTCTGTACTCGAGGTTCCTAATGCCCGGAATTAGTCTTGTCATTATAAGTGTTATGAGTGTGTTATAAGTGTTATGAATGTGTTATGAGTGTTATGAATGTTATGGGTGTGTTATTAGGTTTATGAGTGTGTTATGAGGTTTATGAGTGTTATGAGGTTTATGAGTGTGTTATGAGGGTTATGAGTGTGTTATGAGAGTGTTATGAGTGTCCTATGAGTGTGTTATGAGCATTTCGTCTTATTAACTCTCCTCCTTTAGTTGACAATCTCTCTTCCCTTTCTCTTCGCCACAATGTTGCTTCACTCTCTCTCTTTTACAGGTACTTTAACGGACAATGTTCGGTGGATTTGGCATCCTGTGTACCGCCGGCAAGGCCGTGGGCTCGTAACACTCGACTTGCCCGCGGTGCTCACCATTTCTCTGTGGATGTCGGTCACACTAGAATAACCAGTTATAGTACATCTTTCTTTCCTCACACAGCCAAACTGTGAAATGCTCTGCCTTCTTCTGTGTTTCCAATCTGTCTTACTTCAATAAGCTGGTTTTCCTGCATCTTCATGGTGTAAATTAACATAATCTTTTTCTCTTCTACTTTTAATTTCTTTTTACTCTTATTACCCCCAGGCCCTGTTGTGGGTCGATGACCTGTGCCCGGGTGGGCTATTCCCCTTAAAAAAAAATAATGTTATGAGTGTTATGAGTGTGTGAAAGTGTTATAAGAGTGTTATGTGTTGTGTTATACTGTGTTATGCATGTTGAGTGCTGTGATAGTGTTATGTGTTGTGTTATACTGTGTTATGCATGTTGAGTGCTGTGATAGTGTTATGTGTTGTGTTATACTGTGTTATGCATGTTGAGTGCTGTGATAGTGTTATGTGTTGTGTTATACTGTGTTATGCATGTTGAGTGCTGTGATAGTGTTATGTGTTGTGTTATACTGTGTTATGCATGTTGAGTGCTGTGATAGTGTTATGTGTTGTGTTATACTGTGTTATGCATGTTGAGTGCTGTGATAGTGTTATGTGTTGTGTTATACTGTGTTATGCATGTTGAGTGCTGTGATAGTGTTATGTGTTGTGTTATGCATGTTGAGTGCTGTGATATATGATATAATATTATTATGCGCTGTGAAAGTGGCTATATGACACATTGTGCTGTGCTTTGACAGTATGATATAATGTGCTGTTAGGTCATGTTGTGCTGTGTCAGAATCATGCTGTTGCATTATATAATGGTATATTGTGTTGTGATAGTGTTATGTTAAATGCTGTTACATTATGTTATGCTGTTAATAGTGTGGCATTGTGTACTGAAAGTTGCATCATGATATGCTATGTTATATTATGCTTGTTACGGTATTATGTTGTGCTGTGATATTGTTATGTTGTGCTGTGATAGTGTTATGTTGTGCTGTGTTATGTTGTGCTGTGATAGTGTTATGTGCTTTTATATCAGGCTGTGTTGTGTCTGTTATGTTGGAATAGTTACATTGGGTTGCAATGTGTGCTGTGTTATGTTATGTGCTGTGATGGTGTTTTGTTATGTGCTGTGATGGTGTTATGTTATGTGCTGTGATGGTGTTATGTTATGTGCTGTGATGGTGTTTTGTTATGTGCTGTGATGGTGTTTTGTTATGTGCTGTGATGGTGTTATGTTATGTGCTGTGATGGTGTTTTGTTATGTGCTGTGATGGTGTTTTGTTATGTGCTATGATGGTGTTATGTTGTGTGCTGTGATGGTGTTTTGTTATGTGCTGTGATGGTGTTTTGTTATGTGCTGTTATGCTGTACAATATTAGTGTTGCATTAGGTTACAAAATGTGCTGTGTCATGTCACTTGCTGTTATGTTATGCTGTGCTGCTGTTCTGGCTGAGTGTTATGCATGAATAAGAAGAGCCACACCCTTTCATTTACAGCAAGCTGCGGCAGCTGCACTAGGCCAATCAGCTGCGGTCAATCAAGCAGCTGCGGTCAATCAGGCACAGCTTCTTAAGACCCCAACACTTTCTGTTTCAACGGCACAGCAGGCGGGGTACGCAGCTGCGGCTAATGCCTACACTGCAGCTGCAGCGAGGGCCTATGGGGTAGCTGCTGCTGCTGCCCAACCTACCGCAGTAGCTGCTTATCCAACTATCGCAGCAGGGTGAGTGTGTGCTGTTGTTAACTCAGATTAACCTAACCTAACCCTATCTTAACCCATTCATACCATACCAACACAGCAGTGTGTTTTTTAACCCAAATTAACATAACCTTACTTTAAGCTGTGTTAAGTTAATTTAACCTAACTTTAAGCTGTGTTCATCGAATTTTTTACCCATTTTAACCTAACCTAACCAAACCTAAGTTTAAGCTGTGTTAATCTAGTTTTACCTATTTTAATGTAATTTAACTTAACCTATTCATTTTTTACCAGATTAAATTAAAATTTAATATTTTATAACCTAACCTCACCTACCCTAACCTAACCTAACCTAACTTAATCCAATTTAACCTAACCATACAATTTTACATCAGTTGGCTAAATTAGGTATTTAACAAGATATAAGATTTTAGAATGTTAATCATGATTTAGCATTTGTTATTATTGGTAATGTTTACACACACACACACTATACAAATTATGCACACATAAATAGTATACATTCACAAACACACATTATACACAGTACAGTACAGTTCAGTATAGTACAGTACAGTACAGTACAGCTCAGTTCAGTACAGTTCAGTACAGTGCAGTACAGTACAGTACAGTACAGTACAGTTCAGTTCAGTTCAGTGCAGTGCAGTGCAGTTCAGTTCAGTTCAGTGCAGTGCAGTTCAGTACAGTACAGTACAGTACAGTACAGTACAGTACAGTACAGTACAGTTCAGTATAGTACAGTGCAGCTCAGTTCAGTACAGTACAGTGCAGTACAGTACAGTTCAGTTCAGTACAGTTCGGTGCAGTGCAGTGCAGTTCAGTACAGTACAGTACAGCTCAGTTCAGTACAGTTCAGTACAATACAGTGCAGTATAGTTCAGTTCAGTACAGTACAGTCCAGTTCAGTACAGTTCAGTTCAGTTCAGTAAAGTACAGTGCAGTACAGTTCAGTACAGTTCAGTACAGTGCAGTACAGTGTAATTCAGTACAGTACAGAACAGTTCAGTTCAGTACAGTTCAGTACAGTACAGTACAATACAGCTCAGTACAGCACAGTACAGTACAGTTCAGTTCAGTACAGTACAGTACAGTACAGTACAGTTCAGTTCAGTACAGTTCAGTACAGTACAGTGTAATTCAGTACAGTACAGTTCAGTTCAGTACAGTACAGTACAGTACAGTACAGTACAATACAATACAGTACAGTACAGTACAATACAGCTCAGTACAGTACAGTTCAGTACACTACAGTACAGTACAGTACAATACAGTTCAGTACAGTACAGTTCAGTTCAGTTCAGTTTTGTTCAGTACATTACAGTTCAATACAGTTAAGTACAGTACAGTTCAGTACAGTTCAGTTCAATACAGTACAGTGCAGTACAGTACAGTATAGTACAGTCCAGTATAGTACAGTTCAGTACAGTACAGTTCAGTATAGTACAGTTCAGTACAGTACAGTTCAGTATAGTACAGTTCAGTATAGTACAGTACAGTTCAGTATAGTTCAGTACAGTACAGTACAGTTCAGTACAGTACAGTTCAGTACAGTTCAGTACAGGACTGTTCAGTTCAGTACAGTACAGGACAGCTCAGTACAGCTCAGTACAGTACATTACAGTTCAGTATAGTACAGTACAGAACAGTTCAGTACACTACACTACAGTTCAGTTCAGTACAGTTAAGTACCCTACACTATAGTTCAGTACAGTTCAGTACAGTACAGTTCAGTACAATACAGTTCAGTACAGTTCAGTACAGTACAGGACTGTTCAGTACAGTACAGTACATTACAGTTCAGTACAGTTCACTTCAGTGCAGTACAGTTCAATACAGTACAGTTCAGTACAGTTCAGTTCAGTACAGTTCAGTACAGTACAGGACTGTTCAGTTCAGTACAGTACATTACAGGACAGTTCAGTACTGCTCAGTACAGTACATTACATTACAGTTCAGTATAGTACAGTACAGTACAGTACAATACAGTTCAGTTCAGCTCAGTACACTACAATACAGTTCAGTTCAGTACAGTTCAGTACACTACAGTTTAGTTCAGTTCAGTACAGTTCAGTACAGCACAGTACAGTTCAGTATAGTACAGTTCATTACAGTACAGTACAGTTCAGTACAGTTCACTATAGTATAGTACAGTACCGTACAGTTCAGTACAGTTCAGCACAGTTCAGTATAGTATAGTACCGTACAGTACAGGACAGGACAGTTCAGTTCAGTTCAGTTCAGTTCAGTTCAGTTCAGTACAGTTCAGTTCAGTATAGTACAGCTCAGTACCGTACAGTTCAGTACAGTACAGTACAGTTTCGTATAGTACAATACAGTTCAGTTAAGTACAGTACTGTTCAGTTCAGTTTAGTATAGTACAGTTCAGTACAGTACAGTACAGTTCAGTATAGTACAGTACAGTTCAAATCAGTACATTTCAGTATAGTACAGTTCAGTTCAGATCAGTTCAGTTCAGTACAGTCCAGTTCGGTACAGTATAGTACAGTTCACTATAGTACAATACAGTTCAGTACAGTTCAGTTCAGTTCAGTACAGTTCAGTATAGTACAATACAGTTCAGTTCAGGACAGTTCAGTACAGTTCAGGACAGTTCAGTACAGTGCAGTTCAGTTCAGTGTAGTACAATACAGTTCAGTACAGTTCAGTACAGTACAGTTCAGTACAGTACGGTACAGTTCAGTATAGTACAATACAGTTCAGTTCAGTACAGTACAGTACAGTTCAGTTCAGTTCTGTATAGTACAATACAGTACATTTCAGTACAGTACAGCCCAGTACAGTTTTGTTCAGTATAGTACAATACAATACAGTACAGTTCAGTTTAGTACAATACAGTACAGTTCAGTACAGTACAGTTAGTATAGTACAATACAGTACAATACAGTATAGTACAGTACAGTACAGTACAATACAGTACAGTACAATACAATACAGTACAGTACAGTACAGTACAATACAGTACAGTACAGTACAGTACAATACAATACAGTACAGTACAGTACAATACAGTACAAGACAGTTCAGTACAGGACAGTACAATACAGTACAGTAGAGTTCAGTTCAGTTCAGTACAGTACAGTACAGCTCAGTTCAGTTCAGTTCAGTACAGTACAGTTCAGCTCAGTTCAGTTCAGTTCAGTTCAGTTCAGTTCAGTACAGTACAGCTCAGTTCAGTTCAGTTCAGTTCAGTTCAGTTCAGTACAGGTATTTCCCTATTTATGATGATCCCTTTTGCTATAATCCTTATTAACATCAATCAGAGTTTAACAGACTCTCGGTGTCTCCATTAGGTAAAGCTCACATTATCTTCAGGCTAAACTCTTTGATGTGGAATATAAACACTAATGAAGAACATATGTCCCTTCACTTGTTAAATCCAAGATGTGTGCTGAAACTGCTTTTTCATTTTCCGCATAGTTCACCTACTCGCGCACTGCGTCACAGCCGCCAATGCGAATTACAATTCCGCACTCTGTTTCATCATGATCGCATCTGCTCTCGCTCATGTAATAAACATATCATTATTAATCATTGTGTAACCTTGTGATCGCTGTGATACTTTGCTGTTATTGGTGAAAGTAAAACAATATCGTTCATATTTTGTTTTGTTTTGGTGACTGTGAAGTGATCAGTCTACAGTTATTCTGTAACTTTGAAAATGTTTTGTAAGAGTCTTGCTGAGTTTCCCACCTCTGGGAAAGGCAAGGCTTCAGGGTAGACTGTATCTCTGGAGATGAAATTAGACATTGTTAAGTGACAGGCTGATCATTATTGATGTGGTGAGTGTGGTTTAATTATTTGTATTTATTGTATTTAATTAAGTGTATGATTATTTTTTCTGTGATACACGGGTGTGTCGGACAGGCCAGGAATGTGTTCCATTGAAACCCATGTTAAAATGATCCTGATTTACGTTAATTCGGTTTACGTTACGATTTTCAGGAACGCAACCATACCGTATATAGGATACTGTACCCGAATATGCATACAGTGAACCCTCACTTTACGCAGTTAATTCAACCCACGGCGGCCCGCGTAAAGTGAGAAACGTGTAAAGTGAAGAACATAACATATGGGATTAATTGAAATAAAGACCGGGCCGACCCCCAAACTCCACTTTTTCAGACACAATACCTACGTTGTAGTAAAAAAACTTCTTAATTTTATGATGGCATGCACACACAATTAATAATTAAGAGAAATATCAATAATATTAGGTTTTTTAACACTTACATTAATAGAAAAGATGGCTGGGCACACGGGGATGGGGGGTTGGTTCCGAGGCAGAGGGCAGATTATTGGCCCTCACCTGTATCACTTGTATCAATTGTATCACTATCCACCACAGAGGCTTGCAGGGCTTCTTTGTCAAACCCCTCAAAGTCCATATAAGTCCATATCCTCACTATCATTATCACTATCACTGACTTGGGCCGGCTGTGGTGGGTGGCGGGTGAAGAACTCGGTAATGTTTTGATGACTGGGCGACCTTGTGCGCACTCTGCTCGCGCTGCTCTCCGCGTAAAAGGGTACACACACCGCGGAAAGTGAGCATTCCGGTTTCGGCAGGGTACCGCGTAAACGTGGAAACGCGTAAAGTGGGACCACGTAAAGCGAGGGTTGACTGTACATGAATAATGCACACACACACACACACACACTATACAATGTGTATTTTGAGAATAATGAAGAATTTCTTTAATTTTAATTGGTATAAATTCTGTTTTTTACAACTATTTGTCAATTTAAGTTTCAAGGAATTTATTAAATTGAAATTCTTAATGTAGAGTTTTCTCTTATTGAGTTTAATAAATTCTTTATTCTTTTGTATTTATTTAAGGGATTTTAAATTGATATTAAACTCAAACTTTTTTTTTTAAGATTTTTATTCACGCAAACAGTTTCTTGAAATAATATGATGTTGATAGATTTTTAATGAGAATTTATTCCCATTAAAATAAGTGTTTATTTATATTTGGAATTTAGTGGAATTTTTTATGTAAATTTTATTTACATTAAAATAAGAGAATTTTTCTCAGGTTTTAAAAAATTTGGACGACGACAAATTCTCGAAAAAAATTAAATGATGGCTTTTTTGGTAAGAATTTAATTGCATGTATTTTGAAGTATTTACAGAATCTATTGATAGAGGTTTTTTACAGCATTTACAGTAACCAAGTCCTGGAAATTGTAAATAAGAACCGTAAATTGTAAATGGCACTCGGAAGCTGGTTTTAAAAATACTTAAGGCCTCTTGAGACATGAAATTAATGGCCTGTTTTTTAGTTTCTGTGTGTATTTTATTTTGCACTTCTTACTTTTTTTTACGCTTGTTTAGTCTTTCCCTTGTGTGATTTACCTTATGCTGCGTTTGGTTCCATTTGGGTCTTTCGCACGCTTGACGAATTGTGTGTTTGGTTGCGTTTGGTTCTGTTTTGGGTTTATTGCATGCTTGTTGAGTGTGTTTGTCTGTGCTTGATTCTGTGTGACTGCATTTAGTGATTGAATAGTGTGTTTGGATCTGTTTGGCTCCTGTTAGGGTATTTTTCACTTTAAATGAGTGTCTCGCAGCTTGAGTGGTGTGATTCATTGTGTTTTATTCCGTTTGGTTCCATTTAGGGTCTTTTGCACATTAAATGAAAGGTGTATTTAATTTGGTTTGACTATGTTTGGTTTCTCACACCTTTGACAACTGATTTATTTGAGTGAGTCTGGGTGCATTGGTGTCTCCCACGCTAAATGGATTTTGTATTTGAGTGCACTTGGCTGCATTTTGGTTTCACGCCCTGTGCAAGTTGTTTATTCGAATTTGTTTTGCTGTATTTTAGTTCTGTTTGACCACAATGTTTCACAGTTTAAGTGAATGTTCCAATTTGAGTGCATTTAATCAAAAAATTTGGTTGCTTAGTTGAGGGTGGATGAAACTCAATGTGAATGATTTGCTATGTGATCTTATTTAGCATTTTAAACCAATTGTTTATTCTGATTAAATTATTCTGTAGGTTTTGCCGGGTGTCCTAAGGGAATGATCTATTGTGGGATCTCATTGAGTGATTTATTTTGATTAATTATTCCGTGACATTCGTAGTATGGGGTCTAATCAAATATTTTAATCCCTTCAGTAGTGGATGCTACTTTTATTATTTAATTTGACCGATGCGAGATAATTTTATTAAACAGAGAGAAACCCAAAGGGTTAAACGATTTATTTTTTGGTGGTTAAAGTTATCTACGTTGTTCCTACCCAATAAGCCAGCATTCCACTATGTGGTCAATTGCACAAGGGAAAATCAATAAAGTTGTTTATGTTTCTGTTAAGATGTCATATCATTAACTCTAGTGTGTGTGTGTGTGTGTGTTTTTTTTTATTTACACAAGCACCTACACACACACACACACACACACACACACACACACACACACACATACACATACACACACACACACACAAAATAAATACAATGTTTTACTGAACAATATTACATCTTGAAACATGACAAGACAACTCAGATGTTTAGTTTGTTTTTGTTTTCATTTGTTTACATTTGTGTTTTACTGAGTGGCCTAAAACCAGTAGATACATTAGAGAGAGTCTCTCTTTTCTCACGATTTTCTCACTTTCTCTAAAAAAACAAACACCACACATGGTGTTTTATTGCCTGGGACGCTTTGATACGACAACAAGCACCGTTTGATTTGTAATTTTGGGTAAAAAGCGCTTGTTTTTTTCTCTAAATGATTGTGTTTGTATGTGTGTGTGTATGTGCGTGCATGACGTTTTATGACACTGACAATTTGCACTATAGTATATGACCATGAATTTGTGACTGACGATTTAGAATAGTTTATTACAATAAAAATTTATGATTCTACAGTCCATGGCACTTGTTGACAATATAAGATTTTTATTATAATCTAGGACATTTTGACAGTTCTGACACTCCTTGACAGTTTAAGACAGAGCTACATATCTTGGTAGTATGATAATATAACAAGATATGACACTAATTTATGACACTGACAGTCTCTGAAAGTATGACACTTCTGTGGCTGACAGTTCTTCACAGCAAGGCAAATTTTGACACTACTGTAATTGGCAGTATGACACTCCTTAATAGTATGACTGTTCCATGACACTTCGCAACAGGATGACATTCTCTTACAGTTATTGACACTTTTGACAGTTCTATGACAGTTATTGACTGGATGACACTGGACATTAGGACAGCCTATGACACTCCTTGACCTTGTTGCCAGTATGACAGTCTATGACACCTCTTGACAGTCTATGACAGTCAATGCCATGCCAGAATTTAACCCAACTGCACTTATAAGTAAATTCTGATCTGATGTACACAATCCTTCGCATTATTTTGTATTTTAATGACTTAATGCTGTAAATTCTCGATTAACTGGTTCAATATTTCAATTATCCTTATAAATTATTTATTATCCAGATAATTACTGCTATTATCCTGAAATAATTGTTTATCTGGACAATTAATTTGATTATCCAGACAATTAATGATTATCAGACAATTTCTCATTTAATGTGGACAACATTTTGGTGAAGTGATTGTTAAACAATTTTAAATGCCTGGTATTATTAGCAAAGCCTATAATATGTCCAGAAATAAATATGAAATAAATATAAGTAATTCTCATTATGGAATTAACTAAATATCCAGAATTATTAAAAAAATATATGACATATTTTCTGAGATGGAATTAAATGTACTGTATAATAAATAGTATTATTAAAAGCCAAATAACCGGGAATTTACTGCATACTGTATATGATTAACTAATTTGTGTTCACGAGTGTTTAAGCAGAATTTAGGATGTACTCAACTTGATATTTAATAATTCTCGGTATTTTTAATAGAAATTTTTGGAATTTGGTGAAGTAGTATTTGATCGTTGCATGCTGCATGATTAATACCAGCCCTCTGGTGGGTGTTTTGCCAAGACCTCGAGGTATATTGGGGTATATTCAGGCATTAGTGATGATTTAATGTGATTGACAAATTCTATTTTGACAATATTTTGTGTGTAGTGTATTGGTAAATTTTCATTTTTTTTACTAGATTTTAGATTTATTGGTAAATCTGGGAATGTTTTGTCAGGATTTTAAGTTTATGGATATTTTTTGGGCATTTTTGATAGGATTTTCAGTTTATTGGTAAAACGTGGGCTTTTGTGGACAAGATTTTGAGTTTATTGAGAAAATCTAGGCTTTTCATGACACTTTTTTTAGGATCTTGTGTAATGTGGTAATTTTGGGCATTTTTAAGTGAATTTTATTAATTATTTATATTATTATCTTTATATCCATAAACATCCAGAATTTGTCAAGTAATAAAAATCCTTAACAACACCCACAAACTAACCAAAAGTGTCCACAAAATTCTCCAAAATGTCCACAAAATGCCTCTAATGCCCCTCAAAATGGCCCAAAATACAGTAGAATCCCAGTTATCTGGTATCCAGGCAACCGGTAGATTCAACTAACCAGCACCAAAATGAAATAATAATAAAAATTCCTTCAAAATCATTTAGTATCAAGTTTGAATACTGCATGCAATGAGGGAAGAGTTGCTATATTTATTGCTATGATAAACAACAAAATTGACACAAAGCTTATAAAATACAATAGCACATATTTCATGTACAAAAAATAGCTCCTGCCACATTCAAATGATCCTCTGGGAGACGCAAGCTACTTCAGTCAAGCAGTTAATCAGCTGACTCACAGACTTGTGGCTGTCGCTCTGCACTGTGTGTATGCCATTACGTCACGTCAGGAGGAAGTGCTACCATACAATTATAGCCCACCACCTCCACACACATACACACCCATGTTCTTCATTTTTCTTATTTTACATTTATATAATATTTTCTTTATTTCTACGCCACGTTGCAATGAATATTTTTTTCACAACTTTTATAGACGAGACTGTTGAGTCAGCCATATAGCCAATGCCTTGGCTATGTGGCCTCCACACATGTTCACTTCTCACACATACACAACCATGCTCTTATTTTTTTTTTTTTTTAGTTTTATATTATAATTAATTTATTTATAAGCCACATCATTTATATAAGGTAGAATAAGTGTTAAAGAAGCCTATTTTGTGAGACATGAATATCTGAGGTCAGCCTGTAGCACTGTAGGATTTATTAGGGGACCTTAAGAGTGAGTTTCAACTAACTGGAAAAACTCTTTATTTGGCACCTCTCAATTCCTGAAGGTGCAGGATAACTGGGATTCTACTGTACCCATATAATGCCCACAATTCATCAATACATGATAATCCAGCACAAAATACCCTCATAGATACCCCAAAGTTCCCACAAAATGCCCTGAATTAATCAATACATAATAATCCAGTCCAGTGTAAAATACCTACCAAGATGCCCCAAGTTAGTCAAATAATACAGAACCCACCAAAAAAGTCCACTTAATGATCAGAATTTGTCAATACATAATAATCCGGTCCCAAATGCTCAGAAAATATTCTCTAAATACCCAGAATCTGTCGGTATATAATAACCCAACCCAAAATAGCCTCATAGATATCCAGAGGTCATGGCAAAAAAAAATACCCCAAAAATCCAAAGACTTTTAAGTGGCTTAGAATTGACCTTGATACTCCAGGACTTGGTTGACTAATCCGCTGTTTTTCTCTGCTCTTTTTCTTTCTTGATAGATCGATCTATTACAGTGAGCGGGCATATCCGGACCCCTACATCGCTGCTGCTTCGGGCATTGGACCAGTCGCTGGGTATGGGGTGAGTAGCGGTGTATTATTTTGTTGTTTATTTGGTGGTATATTCTGTCTGGAAATGTTTAGCTTTCATTGGGTGTTAAACCATTTGTTGGGTATGAGGTAAGTACACTTGTTTTTTTCTTCGAGGTGTTTTAGTGTGTTTGAATTACACTAGTTTGCATCTTTTTTTTTCAATTGTATGCTGTTTGAGGTTTATTTTAATGTTTTGATGCCCAATGTTGGTAGCTTATGGGTATCATGTGAGTAGAGGTGTTTTATTCTGTTTGTTTATACGTACTTGCATATGCTTTGAATTGGGTTTATTATAGTTGTTTGGTTAATAGGCAATGTGTGTTTTGTCTGAGGTGACTGTAGCTTCAGGCACGAGCTAAGCACAGTACTGTTGTTTTTGTCTGTTAGGAATGGTATTTCTTTTTATAATTATGTTTGGTTAATGTTTAAAATCAATCAATCTATCTATCTGTTATGTTTTATTGTACACTATATAAATTGAATGAATTAGTTTATGTTTTAGTGTGCTTTCCTGTTTTATTTCTTTGCACATTTACATTTTATCATAAAAATCACAAGCATTTTATTTTAGACAATGGTTTCAATTATACCATTGTGTTTACTATATTTTTCCGGTTTATTTTATTTTAACTTAACCTAACATAGCATAAACTAAACTTGTTCTCTCTTACAGGCTGTTTACAGAGGCTCCTACAATCGCTTTGCACCATATTGAAGAAACCCGCATTCATGTGTGTGTGTGTGTCTTCATAAAACATGACAATTGCTGTTCAGATTTGCTCACTAGAAGGTAATTCATCACGACTGCGTTTGGAAGCGTTGGAGGCAGTGGAAGCAGCGAAGGCAGTAGTCACTTCTTCCAATGCTTCCAGATCGAACTTCACCTCCCAAGGAAACAAGGTGCGGCTTCCGAACCCTCGACTGTGATGTCTCTGCAGTATGGTAGATTAACTATAATTTATGGAGTCTCTTAGAGTATGACATAGAGAGATCCTAAACTGTGGGGTCTCTGTAGTATGGAATAGATTGACCCTAAAGTTTGGAGAGTTTGGAGGATGCATAAATAGGGAAGCCTTAGGAGGATGGCATTACAGTAATAAATTTGCCCTAAACTTTGGGGAGTTTGGAGAAATGCATAACTAGATTAACCCTCAGCTGTGATCCATCTTAGAGTATAACATGACAAGAAAAAGACCCTAAAGTGAGAAGTTTGTGGAGGATGACATGAACAAAATAACTGCTGATTGAAGCCGTCACATCAAGTCACAACATTTAGTTGGGGGAGTTAGTCTGTGTTTCTGGTGAATCTCTCTGTATATGGTTGTTAATGGTTAATCTATATGTTATTGCAAATTTATCTGTTACGGTGTAATTTACATTATGTTAAGGTGGACTTTGTAACAGTTCTTAACAATGAAACATAAATCCAGATAAATATCATATTTGTTATAAATAATAACAGAATGGCAGCTATTTGAAGGTAATTTTCATTTCTTAAGAGTTTTAAACAGTTTGTGATATAATGTAATGAATTGAAGGCAGCTCAGAATTTTTTTATGCTCTGTAATTTTAGATTTTACAGGCTGGATGCAGCTCAAAGAGTGTTATGTCATGTGCTTCATGAGATTATAGGCTAAGGCAGTCAGAATGTGTTACATCAAGAATTATTAAAGATGTTACATTGAATAAGTTACCTCAACTGTTACTTATGATGATATGTAAATGAAGTATATAAGAGGTTTTAGGCTTCATAATGGCAGTGTAACACTTAGTAATGCAATGAAACTGAATACAACTTGTAATACTGTATTTTATGTAATGGGGCAGTATAACATTATGCACTAATGTAACTGAATGTAGCTGGTAACAGATTGTAGATAATGTCAGGTAAGTGTAACACCTTGTAACAATTTTAGTGATGTGAAGGTCTTATAACACCTTATAATATAATGTGAGTGTTGTATCGGATGTCAGGAGATATGAAGGAACATCTCATATTGTAACAATGTGAGTCATGGCAGATTTAGGTGACATCAGGCAGGTATAACATTGTAATATCTCATAATTTTAAGTTGATGTGACAATGACATAACACTGTGTAACATAACAGATCCTCGGGGATGTAGAGATATATGTAACACCAGATAACATAAGAGATTTTACTGTGACGTGACGGCAGTGTAACAGTCAACACAGCCCGTGACATATTGCGTGATATTAAGGGCAGTTTATCACCCTAAAATGTAATACAGTGATATCTTTGTTACCCGGAGCAATTGGTGCTGAGCACTTCCGGGAATGAGAGATTTCTGGGTAGTGAGACGACTCTCTCAAAGCCGGAAAAAATCCCTCATCCCAGAATTTTCTGGGTAATGGAAAAATGTTCTCGGAAGTTCTAGAAATTGCCCATTACATCATCTCTCGAACCCAGAAAGACATCCCCCAACCCCAGAATTTTCCGGATACCGGAAAACTTTTCCCGGAATTTTCGGAAAATGGCCTAATTTTCATCTCTCAAACCCGGAAAAAACTCCCCCATCCCCGGAATTTTCTTGGTCATCAGGAAAATTTTATCTGAATTTTCCGGAAAATGTGCCCCTCAGAAAATCGTTCCCGAAGCTGGAATTTTCCAGAACTTCCAGCTTTGAGAATGATTTTCCGAGAAAATTTCAATTCTGGCTATCGGAGCGTTCTGGATTTGAGGGATTCCGGCGAATGGAGATATTACTGTATAACAGATTTTAGGGTGACATGAGGGCAGCATGACACAGAAAGCAGCAGCTTGCAACAGGTATTAGATGACGCTGGGGGCAGTGTGACACTCATCGCAGCTTGTGGGTTACTAGGTGAGCTAAGGGCAGTGTGACACTGAATGCATCTCATAACAGGTACTAGGTGACACTGAGGGCAGCGTGACATTGATCGCAGCTTGTAACAGGTACTAGGTAACACTAAGGGCAGCATAACATTGCTCATAACAGGCATTAAGTGATATTGAGGGCTGCATAACACTTCATATTGTAACAAACGACAGCTGATATCTTGAACTTGAGGGGGTGACAGTCAGGCTCTGTTATGAGGCGTTACGGCAGGACAATTGGCAACACAAGGCCAGAAAATAACACCATAATGCATTAGTAACAAGCCCATAACAACTGTGTAATTTACATAAATCCTGTTACTGTAAATTGTCTCTTTTTATGGTGTTTTATTCTATGTTTTCTTTATTTATTTTTATTTTTTGTCCTCGTAAATGACACATTTTTTACGATGGTGAATTGTAATATGACGTAAAATGATTTTTGTCATAAATGATTTTTTTTTTACAATTTTGTATTAGTTACAAGAAAACGCATACAAACAATGAGTTTCTCCATGTTTGTAATCGATACAGCGTTTGTTTTTCATCTTAGATGGCAGAAAAGCATTTTGTAAATGTAAAGAAAATGTAGTGTGTTTTAATGTCTTCAACGAATGTATGATTAACTCTTACCATTTCTTGTACAGTGTAATTGTAAATCACTTGTCTGTTTACATTTTATTGCGTATTATTCTGACGTAAATGTGTATTGTTTAAGTAAGTGTAAATCTCTCCGTAAATGATGATATTAATAGAATCTCATTTTAAGGTAAATGTTGTATTGTTTGTAAAAAGAAACAAGCGCACATAAAAGTAGAAATGTGTTTTTTCATGTTTGTAAGTCAAACGTGTAGTTCTACGTCTCACGTTTGTTTAGTAGAATTATGTTTTCTGTATGTTTGTAAATGAAGTGAGTAGGTATTCAACCTTTGTGTTTGTTAATGGAAGTTTTAATTTTTGTGTTTTCCTTGTGTTTTAAAACACTCAAGTGCAGCTGTTAAGAATTTACTTGTCTTTACTTTTTACAACAACAAAATGCAGCACTACTCAAATCACGTGTTTGTTCAATGTCATTTTAGTAAAAACAAACATAGGTGTTTTAATGTGTTTTTTATGTATGTTTCACTCAAATGCGAGAAGAACCCAAGCCGTTCAGGTCACAACATTTGGTCACAAGTTTTACACCCTTTTGGACATGAGGGCCACAGGATAGAGCCTGAGAACCCTTAAAAGTGTTAATTATTATCATTATCGTTAATCTTATTGCAATTCATCTTTTCTTTTTCTTATAAAAAAATATAATACACACTCCATTACTAATTTTTTTTATATAAAAAACAATGGAAAACGGCATGTGGGTTCTCTAATATACCTCTATAATTACATTTTTTAGGTCAGTATAATTAGTAATTACCATTTAGTTATCTTTGTTAATTATAAGCTTTTAAAATCAAAGTCAATTTATGATGCGCACAATCATTTCCTCATTAGTGGAGGCGGTTGGGTATGCCCTATTAGGCCTAGGCAGTGTGGGTACAGCACACTGTAGGACATTGAAATTTCAGTATAATTGTGTCCTTTTAGGCTAATTTAGGGGCAGTGTGTATACAGCAGACTGCAGTACCTTGAAAAGTCAGAATAATTGTGCCCCTGAAGGTCATTTTATGGGCAGTGTGGATAAAGTTCACTGGGATGTTGAAATTTGGTTACAGGAGGCCCATGCACCATACCTGACCAACTTCACTAACCCAAACTGTAATGTTAGGTACCCATTCACAGGTGGGTCAGCTGGGGGTGCCCCGGAATAAAACCAGAGGCCTAATAAGTACTCATTTACAGCTGGGTCAACTTTGGGTGTCCCAGGATGGAACCAGTGACCAATTAGGCATTCATTGATAGCTGGATGAACTGGGGTCACCCATCTCATAAATGGGTAAATTTTGGGTACCCTGGGATTGAACCAGCGACCCTCAGGACTAGAGGCAAGTGCTGTATCAACTTAGCCACTGAAAATGTCCGACAGTATATAAAAAATGCTCATATGACATTAGTTATAAAGATGATATTAATAGTGTTAATTAAGTTGTAAGTTGTAGTGTTGTTGTGGCACTGAAGACATGTGTTATGGTGTTGTGTGTGTGTGTGTGTGAGAGAGAGAGAGAGACTGATTTTGTGTGCTGAAGAGAATGTGAGAGAGTGACAGTTATAGTATTGCTATGATATTAAAAATGTGTGTGTGCACGTGCGTGCTTGCGTGCGTGCGTGCAATTAAGAGAGAACGAGATTATTTTGAGAGGTAGATAAATAGATTGAGAGAGAGAGAGAGAGCAATATTGCAAATCTCATAGAAGCTCAGGAACAAATAATTGACCTGACCTGACCTAGAATATACTCATGAAATCTTACTATAAAATGGCGCACACCATAACACATGCCTCTTCCTATGCCCAATTTTACCCCATGTCCCAATATACCCCATTTCACGACTTATTAAAAATCCCTATTTAATGGCAGTGTCCTGGTAGCTATCGTGTGTGTGTGTGTGTGTGTGTGTTTGTTTGTGTTTTGGGGTCAAATTTACTTGCTAAAGACAATTTACAACATGGTGCTTGGTTGAAATTGGCTTGTAATTGTGGTTGGTTATCCAATTTTGCACAAATTTGCAGGATATTGTGCTTGGTTATCAATTCTGCACAAATAATACATTGAATTTGCACAACTTGTTTCAATATTGGGAAAAATCGCACAATATGGTTCAAGATTGAGAAAAAATGCACAAATGAGTCAAAAATTACTCGGATTTGCTCTAGTTTGTTGAAGTTAGCAAGAATTTTAACAAATTGAAAAAAATCTGATGATAGATCAATATTAGCAGAAATTTTATCACAGTTGGTAAAAATTGGATCAAAATATAGGGAAATAACAAATTGGCAAAGATTAAGCAAAAATTGTCCATAAAATTGTAAGATTTGCAAAAGAATTATTTTTAGTTATTTAAATTGGTAGAAAATTAATATGGTAGTATTGCAAAAATTGGTAGAAATCACAAAAATTGAATGAAATGTGCTCAAAATACATAAAATTGCACAAAATTGGTATAAACTTACACAAGTTTGGTAGAAATTGGGAGAAAATCGCACAAAATCATTCAAAACTGGGTTGAAATTGGGAAAGCAAATTATATAAACCCGTCAAGTGCAATAATACATCTGTGTAATTTTTCAAGACGTGTTCAAACAGTAGATGTCCATAGAATTGATATTGACACCTCGGAAGTCTGTAAAATCTATTGTTAACATCCGAGATTCTGTAAACCAATGATTGACACCTCAGAGGTTTGTAAACCAATGATTGGCACCTCAGATGTCAGTATTATCACTATGACACCTCCTCAAATGTCCGTATTATCGCTAATTGACACCTCGAATGTCCGTAGAAATAGAGGCAACTCACCACAGGAAACGGGAACTCGTCACAACCAAAGAATTTCAGTATTTGTGTTTTTTTTAACTGGCAATTTTTTTTACAGGTTTTGTAAATTGGGAAATATTTTAATTTTTGTAATTTCATGATTTATGACATTTTGGTTAATTTTGGCCACATGGCAATTGGGTTGAGTAGGGGCACTTCACCCTTTATCTATCTATCTATCCATCTTCTCTAATGGGTATTAAAACTTGTATTTATTTTTGGGCCACATCACAACTGGGTCAACCAGAGGCACCTGGGACCCTCAATTTTCTTTTTAACCCCCAATTCTTAAGACAATATATAGAAAGTCTTCCTTGATAGATAAAATGGGTCCCATGATATGCCTATAGGCCCATTTGGGACAGTTAGCTGGGCACTGCACTGGACATTTTCATTTCCTCATCTGTAAATTTAGGTACCAAAAATTTACAGTAAAAAAAAATTGTAAATTTAACGTCCAAGAGAAGAAAATTACACCGTAACTTGTCAAATTTTCCTGTGTAATTTTTTGTGTAAATTTTAATTTTTGAAGACCATTAAAATAGTTTTAGGGAATTTTAATTTTAATTTTTAATATAAACTCATTAAAAAAATTGTACAAATTACTATGATGTTTTAATCTCTATAATAAATATTAATGATAATGTGTGTTTTTGTAACATTTGGAAAGTTTATGAGGTTTTATATAATATATTTATTTGTATATGTACAGTAATATACCCTTGCTGTTTGAGGCAGTGGCGTAGCTAGAGTGTGTGCCGCCAGGCGCCCTTGAGATTCTATATTTGGAACCGAGTTCCCAAGGTTATACTTTTGAATAAACTGCAAAAGTTCAAGGGGGCCTTCTTTCCACGTCTGTATTCTGTCTTTAATAGTTATAGCAGCAACAAAATGCTGAAGTCTTTTTCTCTCAACGAGGAACTCCTCTTTATCAATGTCGTCGTGATCGTGATCTATTTGACACTCATATTTATCATCCAAAAGATTCAATGGGGTAAGGAAGGCATATTTCTCAGCAAGTTCATGAAGCTGTTGAAATCTCAAAGTTATTCCTTGGATCACTCTGTCCAGCGAAGAAAACATTTCTCTCCTCAATTCAATGTCGTATGGCAATTCAGCATCTCGTGATCCTTCACTTTTGGGGGGCGGCACTTTTGGGTCTGCTCATCACCCATATCTGCAGCTACTGGAGACGTTAATCCTTCCCTTTGTATCGGCGGCAAGTTAATCCTTGTTGTGTCTGACCTAACACCTAACCCACACCCCATGAGCTCACTGGCGTACTTGTTTGAAGTTGTTTCCTTAATCCTCAACAGGTTACAGGTTGTGTGTGTGGCGGGGGGTGGGGGGGTAGGCGCATAGCAAGGGTGTAGCTCATGACGTGGCCGTGATGATGTGGGTCAGGTGTTAGGTCAGACACGACAAGGATTAACTTGCCGTCGATACAAAGGGATGGATTAACGTCTCCAGTAGCTGCAGATATGGGTGATGAGCAGACCCAAAGGTGCCGCCCCCCCAAAAGTGCCGCCTGGGGCGGGCCGCCCCCCCCAAAAGGGCCGCCCGGGGCGGGCCGCCCCCCCGCCCCCCCCTAGCTACGCTAGTGGTTTGAGGGGGTTAGGCTCAAAGGAATGGCAGGAAGTGGCAAAACTATGAATAGCAACTTATACTACCTTAGTGCACTACTGTATACCTATTCTGTGTATGAGAAACTTCAGATGCCAATACTACTACTGTACTCCTTCATATGTGGAAGTTTGGAGCTTGATGAAGAAAGCGACATTGATGACCCACCCAGCCCTGTCTCCTCCTCTGCTTCATCCAATTAAAATAGTTTCCATGCATCCTGTAAATAGAAAATTGTGGGGGACCCGTGTGCATTCAGCTGACTACATTAAAGTTAAGTGCACAGTCACACTGTTTCCATTCTTCATTATTGATTACTTTTACTGTACTGTACTGTATTTCATTTTAGATTTTATATGTATTATTTTTTGCATTTCCGACTTTCGACCATTATGACTTACGACCTGGATTTGGGTCCCTAACCCCGTCGTAAGTCGGGGAGGAGCTGTATATTAATAATTCTATTTTCTAACTCTTTCTGTCTATAGTTATCTATCTTATATTTCTTTGCTTATATTTTCTATTAATATTCTTTCTCTACTTTATTTCGTCTGTCATATACAGCTAGACCCCGACTTACGACGGGGTGAGGGACCCAAATCCAGGTCGTAAGTTGACATAGATAAAAAAAAAATAATTAAATTTTTCTTTTAAATAAAAAATCTACAATGAAATACACTACAGTAAAACTAATAAATAATGAGGAATGGATACAGTACAGTGAAAGTAATAAATAATGAGGAATGGATACAGTGTGACTGAGCACTTACCTTTAATGTAGTCAGCTGAATGCACATGGGGCCCCCATAATTTTCTAATTATACATGGAGACTACTGTACATTAACTGGAAACGTTTCGGTATAGAAAATGCTTGTCATTTAAAAAAAGAAAAATGGTCACAACTGTGGCGGTCGTAAGTCCCGACGGTCATAAGTCGGGGTCTAGTTGTATATTATTGTATTTTCTAGATTTTATACCTTTTCTTTCTCTCAATTTATTATTATGCCTTAGTTATATTCTATACCATGGATTAGTCTGGGAAAATCATGTCATTCTTACTATAACACTTATTATACTTACAACAGTAGCCTGCCATCACCCAGACTTTTATTGGAATATAACATCTTAGTGAACAGTTTGGTAGCGTGCTAGCGAGCTTCTAGGCACATGAGTTACAATAGTTATTTTCCGAGAACCAACGGGTAGAAGGAATAGAGCGGTGATACTCGTAGTTTACAAATTCAATATTTATTAACATAAGGAGTGAACAAGATGTTAATTAAGTACACTCAGACAAGACTGGACCACTTAGGTCTTACCTTACAAGTAGCAAAATAGACCTTCAAATTCCTGGTTACAACATTAACCAATCATTATATTATTTCATTGTCAATACAGAGAGTTGTGGGGTTAACGCAATGTAGGATCACACTAGGATGGAGGTGAGAAGGAAAACTCAGCTATGGCGTTCTCTCTCTCTCTCTCTCTCTCTCTCTCTCTCTCTCTCTCTCTCTCTCTCTCTCTATATATATATATATATATATATATATATATATATATATATATATATATATATATATATATATATATATATATATGTATATATATATATATATATATATACACAGTGCAGTACTGGGGAGTTGCAGTGTGGTGAGGAGCTTGATGAGAGGAGGTCTTGTCTGTTAGAGAGCGCTCCGCAGAATACCCTTCACGGCGAGGCTGTGAGCTTATGTACACGTCCGCCGGAAGTATACGTCGCTGGTGGCTGACCCCGCTCAGTGAGACACTAGACTTGTCAGAGAAACTTGCCGCGGGATCCGCTGATCAGCGACTAATGGCAGTGGCAGTTGTAGGGGGGAGTATTCACTACAATACTCCCCCTCCCCTACGAGCGCTGCAGGAAACTTGTTGATGGCAGGGTTGTCGACATACCTGAGATATGATGGAACAGCATCAGAGATGTGATGCTGCTCCTCGTACACAAGTTTATATATGGCTAATTGGCAATTCGGGCCTGTGCGCAAGACTTGCCAGATCACGCAGTAACAGAAATTCATTTAAACTTAAATTCAATTAAACTTAAATTTCTCACACAGAATCTAAATAAGTTTCACACTCTTTAAGTAAACCAGACACTATTTAAGTATTCCAGGCAGTATATAAGTACCACCAACATATAGGCTTTACTAAAGTACAGTATTGTTAGTGAATATAGTTACAATACTTTGTAGTGGATTTCTCCCCTACAAACGCTGTTTGTCGCTGAGTAGCCGACCCCACCAATTCCCCAGTGTATGCCTCGTGGTCTAGGTCAACCAGCGCCGCCATACACTACGGAGCGGGGGTCAACTACTAAGCCACGCCAACCCCCGCTATTTAAGACCTGACCTCGTGGTGATCTCTCTCTTTCAACCGACACCAACCAGCCAGCAACACACCTCCTCCTCCGCCGCTGCCTGGCGGCCCTCGCTCCTCCTCCGCCTGCCTGGCGGTCCTCGCTCTCGCCGGCGAGCATGGCGACCCACAAGCTGTCCTCCTGTGAGCATCCTCACCAAACAGCTCTCTCTACATCACGCTTGTAACCATGCTGCCTTCCCAGCACCAAGCTGCATTGTACATCCAATACAACATGTATACAGAGAGCACATTGTGAGTTTCCTTTCTCCATCCCATCCTGAGTGTGAACCAAACATCTCGAACCCCACAACTTCATAGCTTGCCGTTATGTAATAGAGCTATAATTTGCTTTAGTTAACCCAATGTTGGTAATTTTCTTCCGTGCCCGAAGAACGAAGTAACATTTTCTTTCATGTTAAAATCGTGAATTTCTTATGTTTTAAAGTAATTTGGCATGAAAAACTCATTTTATTTACAGACTCTATTAAGTGCTAATATAGTTTTATTTATATGATAATAGATGATTATTCAAAAGGCTATTTATATTTTAAATGTAAAATAAGTAATAAGGAGGTGAGCGCCATCTATGAGTTAGCAGCGCCACTAAACTATCATCAATGTGGGGGTGGGGGGAGGGGGGGTCACGTAAAGTTTCTCGTCTGGTGTATCTGGAGGTCCATCACTAACAATAGCAGCACTTGACAGTGAACGACGATGGAGGACAGACGTATTATATAACGAAGTGACAGTCCTGGAAATATCCTCCTGAGGCATCGGTAAGAACTTTGTTTAATAGTATTGTATCATATAAGTAACATTAATAATAGTGAGTAGTTGTTGGTGTATTATTATGGTGAGACAGTTTATTTAATGGTTAATTTAATCCATCGTGTTGGGTCTGCCGGCGAAGATGATGTTCACATACTGTATCGGTAAATTTTCACTTGTTGCTACTATAGTAATCAAAGTTAAAACATGTTTGGTATTGTTGCAGTTTTGGCCAATACACAGACTACTGTTTTAACCACCCCTAACCTTTAGATCTCCTTATTTGGGGTATTTCTGACCCCATTTCAACCAAGGGGCAAAGAATTTCAAATTATTTTAAAGTTTTTCCATACTTTTGGGTGGGACAACTCTAAAACGGGTACTTTCGATTAAATAAAACCAAAATACACAGGATAACCTAATTTATAAACTACTAGGGCATAATGGCCAAAGCTGCAATTTTGCCTTCTGTTTTTGCAATGGTTTTTGATGTGTTAGGAACGAATTTGATTTAATTTCTGGTGCAATTTAATAGTTTCGGAATTTAGAGATAATCGCTAAAAATTATTCAAAATATATATTTGACGACAGTATCAGAATTTTTAATTGTCTAAACTGCTTGATAGGTATATTACAAGGTCATTTTTCGTTAACCATCCATCACCTTTTTACGATTGTTTCTTGCCATTTAATAGATCTTCGAGAAACTAAATAATAAAGTCTAATTTAGCTCGGCATTGCTAAAGTAAATGATATTCGCTATTTATTTGTTGTGATCGCATTTTCTAAATCCCAATCTGATATGGTGACACAACGGTCAGGTTAGGTCAGGACGTGGCCCGTTAGGTCAGG